GAAATATCCCTTCTAATCAGAGCCTTTTCTTTCTGTGATTTTTCCATAGTTTCCTGTTTAATATGCTAAAAATTAAGTTTAGTTGTGCTTCATCTTTGCATCAGGCAGAATGTTTCAATGTCTTTCTAGTGGAGCTTTCCATTATGAAGATACTATTTTGGTTCATCATAATGATTTTTTTTTTTTTTTCTCCCTGAAGTACTTGACTTTTTGGAATAGCTGGAGGAGACCTGAATTTATTATCTTCAGGAATCACTCTTAGGTGACATTTAAGATATTCATAATTTAACATGCTATCTTTGAACTTGTAATTTTTGTTATGAAGATACAGTTTTGTCTCTGTAGCCTCTTGTTGCCTGCAGATGCTACAGCCTGAATTCATCACAGCACTTAAGTGCAGCCTTAAGTAAAGCGAGTGAGTATGATCATTATATATGTATAGACAGTCCTTTGAAGGATGCCTCTAGACTGTCTGCAAAAACAGTTTTGCTGCCCATAAGGACAGCAAACCCTCAAACATGTTCCCAGAGCATACATGCCCAAGCACTCTTACAGTGTTAGCATGTGACAAGGTGTTTCCAGATGAACTATGTGCAGGTGATGTGCAGCACACTTTGAGGCCCCGATGTGGCTGGACTGCCAATGCACAGCAGTCCCAGCAGCTTCTAAGAGCTGTGCAAACAAATCTGACTCCCATACTGATTTCAGCTGGGGGGCTAATTCTTTAAAAGTAGACTTCAGATGTTTAAATGTAGACACAGTACCCAAGGAATGGAGAATGCTGTGGGCTTTAAGTTCTTTAATTTTTCACATTTGGTAATGATGAAAAAGGTGGGTCATTTTTATTATCTCTATGATAACAATTCTGGCACCACTAAGAAGACTTACATGATTTTTAGTAGGGATTTGGCACTTTCCTCTCAGATACTGCTGAAAATGTCATATACTGCTTTTGCTGTTATTACATGCCCTGTAAGAGTTTCTGGTGGCTATAGTGGAGAGCGGGACCCTCTGTGAAACCCTAAGAGTTGGCTCAGGTGATGGCTGAGCCCAACCTGGTGGGATGTGGTGCCCAGCAAGTAGAAACCTGGCTTCTTAGCATGTGCCAAGGGTAGTAGCCCGCAACAGCAGCTGGGTCCTTGGCAAGGAAGGTTGTGGAGACAAGTCATATAAATTAGGTGTGGCAGAGAGGTAAAGCTACCGTGCTGTGAGTGAGCAGAACCATGTCATCAGAGATGGAAACCTGGTGAATCAGTTTGCTTGGGATCATTCTCCAGTGCTGGTTTATAGGTGTTAGAGGAGAGGTCAGTTATTGCCATGCACTGGTAGTCGCCCAGTCCTGCAAACAGTGGTGTAGGGGTCTGCCTCTTCCTTGGCATTCCACTATTAATTGTCACTTGTAAGCCTTGTATCACAAGAGCTGTGGTCCCTAAGGCAGCCTGCTTGTCTGTGTCTGTGGCACTGACATGTCAGAGGCATGCACAGGTTGTGTTCTGCTGTATAAACAGAGGTTATTGTGAACACTTAAAAGAATCCACACATTGTTTATAAATAATTAGTTCTTTTTAGTGGCTTGGTAATACCCCATCAGATTCATTACTTTTCCAGTCAAATGCACAGCTCACTTCATGGCTGATCTCCATTACTTACTGTTTTCTGGCATGGGATTCCTTTTACTTAGAATTCATGTGATTCATGGGTTACAGGCTTTTCTGTTGAATTGCAGTATGTCTACAGAGGCAGTTGTGACTGCCACCACGCTTGTGACTTAATCTACGCAAAAACCCCACAAGAATCAGTGATTTGGAAGACATTCCTACCTGCTGCTTGTGTAGGATGGCCATCTGTCTGGCAGATCCCCATGTGGAAGTCAGATACGTCTGAGAAGAGCCAGACAACCTTCTGACACCTGTTTCTCCAGCAGCTGTAGTTGCTTATTCCACTTTTTTATTTTCTCACCAGGTGATGTTGAGATTGGGTTTTAAGTCTGTGTTCAGAAGCTTTTGAATTCTATTATAGTCCCATCACTGTGTACAATGCAGGATCATTCTGACCAAATCACCCTTTCTCTTTCTGGGACAAATTTTGGGGGTTCCTAATTATACCTTTGGAAGTGCTCCTGAATTCAGGCACCTCAATTCAGTCATAGAATTGATAAATAGGTGGCTTTAGTCAGTTCTGGAAAATGCCTTTAGAATTGCTGAAAAACACTGAGACAAACTACTGGCTTTTAATTTTAAGTGACATCTTCTATTTGAGGATCATTCCATATACATTCATGATCCTTCATGTAAATGGTTTCCAAGATGCAGGAAAAGAAAGTGGAAGTGTCAAAGTGGCACTTTCTAAAGATACTCCTTTTATCTTCTAGAAATTTAATATCTTTATAAAGATAATGAGTATTGACAAGTCATCCATTCTGAGCCCATGGTAGAATACAAATACCTTTGATTCTCTGCTCTCAATCTATGTGTATGCATGGCTGCTTGCCTGTTGAGATCTCATTCACAAATTGTCTTCAGTTTCTGCGTGAGACGTTTTCTGAGCAATAAGACCCAAACATTTCATAACTTTGTGTGTGTAAGTTTTGGGGCACTTTTATTAATTTAAAAGCTTATAAAATCATGCAAGAAGGCATGCAGCCAGAAATGGCTGGTTTGCTTTGCTGTCTTCAATAGTGCCTACATTATAAAAAGTGTTTGAGCCCCACAAGACTTTGCAGTTACATTCCAGACTTAACTCTGAAGATATATTCAAAGACATCTAGCTGAAACTAGCAAAAGACATCTTCTGCAGCTCTAGTGTATGCTCTTTTGAGCATGGTACACAGCATGCTGTACTGGATTTTACTGGAGCAGCAGCCATGATAAACCAAATAAATGCAGCCTTCTGTAGATGAATGGTATCTCCTGCAACTAAAGGTTAAAGTGTCATCCAGTGATTTATCCTTCCTAATGGATTCGTTGGGTTGCTGTGATAGGGACATAATTTACTACCTTTTGTACATCAGATGTTGTGTTCTTGAAATGGTGTTTGGGGATTTACAATATTGAACAGGTTGAATTACATGTCAAATTATCAACCATCCTGTTTGACATTTAGTCAGCGCTGACAGGAACTAGGCATTTATCAAGATGAGGCTTCTGTATCACAGTCTTTCAGTAGGATTGTTTTATTTCAAGGCTGTTGTTAATCAAATGTTTCTGGATAAAATCTGTAAAATAGACTGTTAATTGCATTGACGGTTGTGCTGTGGCCAGCCAGATGTTCATTGTGTGTATTGTAGCTGTCATCCTCCCTGTAGATTATTTAAAGTATTGCCTCCTTGATGGACAATATTTTATCTGGTAATCCACCAGGTTCTTGCAGTTTGGAGGCAGGCAGCACCCTGATGTAAAGACCCTATGGGTTAGGAGTGCCTGCCAGTATTTGAATGGTACTTTTGAGAGGAGCGAGTGACCTCTTCAGGGTTCATTTCCCAGAGGTCTGCATACGTTTGCAGAACTCTTGGCACATGCACTCTTTCAAATTATATTCCTATCTGGAAACATTTAATGAAAGATTTCCTTCCTACGGTTCCTGCCTTCCTTATCTGACAGTTCTTGATTGATTGATACAGCTTATGAGTTTTTCTTGAGCATCTTTTTTTGTGTGCTGTATGACCTTAAATCAGTATGGTTCAAATGGTGTTTTGTGGATTATATATAGACTTTTGCATGCTTCTATATGGCCTGCTGTTTTGTCTCCTGAGGAGACAAAATATGTCTATTTGCACAGTGCTCTGTCTAACCATTTGGTTGCCTCCTTTTGAGCCTCTGATCCCACTGACACAGACTTGAAGCTGCCTTTACTGCATCCACACAGAAAGAAGGTGGAGGAGGAGGTGTAGCTGGGAAGCATGTCCTTGTTTGTACCTGTATTGTCAAACGGGAGTTGCTGCTGCTGTGAGGATCCTGCTTTTGATCTAAGTGACTACCATGGCTGCCTAGAGTGGTCCACCTGTTGAATAAAGTTCAAATGAAAGCCATTAATTTAATAAGTCTGTATACCTAAATAAACAGTGAGAAGGTTCTGATATAACCTGTGAAAACAAAAGGGGACATCCGTCAGTTTACGTCCCTGTTTACACCTCTTAGTTCCTTGCTCGGTACTACAACTCTAAGCAAGATAGAAGACAGCAGCAGTTTATTACATTGTTTGAACGTATGATCAGCCAGGCAAAGATAAAATGAGGACACATGATGAATTTGGCAATAGTATTCCAGGACAGAGTGGCTGCCCTCTTCAAACTGCCAAACCCTCTGGTATATTCTCTTGACTTAGAAATTGAAAATGCAGATCAGAATCTTTCCTAGTGAGTTGTCTGCTCTTTGCATTTTTCAGCAAGAAAAAAGAGAAGTCATTTCTTCAATACAGATATGCTATCCTTATATTTAAGCTCCCAGAAGGCCCCTGGCTGTGTGACAAGAATTACTGTCATGGATATTGCATAACAGTTTATGCATAATGTTTAATGCATTCTCATTTTTATGAAATATGGATAATATTGGGGACATAGTTTAGATTTACACTTTCTTTTTAAGGTGGAAACAAGCAGGACATTTATAGTGCTCTTCAATGACACTGGAAGAGTTGAGATGGTTTCCATTAAAAATGAATAAAATATGTAGAAGTGGAAAGGAAAAAATTATGTTGCATAGATGGATTATGGGCAAGTCATAAATGTTTAAAGCATTGCTGGAGGTTAGAAATGCCATGACTTTATTTGAATATTGTAGCTGTCTCAGCATGCTTCCTCACTGCTCTGTCCAAGGTATATTGCTGGTTGGTCTGGAAGGTTGGAACTCAACTGAGAGGACACAGTTTTGAAGAATGCTTCTTCTTGTTTAAGGTTTATTATTAAAATTAAAGCATTCAGAAAAAAAAAATAATTTGATGAGTGTTGCAACCTCACATTGAGGGTCAACTCACATTGTATGTATTTGTTTTGTGACATACAGGACAGTTTTCCAGCTCGGTTTGGAGGAATACATTTCGTCAATCAGCCGTGGTATATCCATGCCCTCTACACAGTTATACGGCCCTTTCTAAAGGAGAAGACACGGAAAAGGGTATTCCTTTGTTTAATTGTCCATTACCTGGCAGTTGTAGTCAGCAGATGTATAATGCTCTAATAAAGTAGATATACACAATATATCAGCTTGCTATTTCTGGAAAATATTTAAATACATAGCATTATATAGAGTATCTTTAACTGTTTTAGAAACTTAGACAGTGTTATCCTTTAAGGAGACAGTCAAGCAGTTTATTTAAATGTATTTTAAAATGTAAGCATATACTTTCTCCTGGGGATTGTATAAAAAATAATGCCAACATTACTGTTTCTATTAAGATTCTATTCAATTCAATTCTATTCAGTTTCTGTTAAAATTATTTGTGTCTGTCTTTTAAGAACACAGGTAGTGAGTACAAAGTCCTTTCCTAGTGTGATCTCCTTGACATTAGCATGAACTAGAATACACAGCTGGTGTATAGCAGTTTGCAAATACTGATTTGAATGAAAGCCAGTGAAAGGAAATTTGTGTGCATGCATCTGTGCATAAGCATGAGCAGTCTGTGAGATGTTGCTGAATTTGCAGCATTTGCATCAGTGCAATTAAATTAGAGCTTGATGGTGATAGCACATAGAATGATATTATTTCTGTAACAGGAAATTTGTCATCCAGGAAAACACAATCAGCATCACATACAAAGCCATTACAAAGAATGTGATTTTTTTTTTTTTTTTTAAATAGGATCAGCTCTCTAAGCAACTGTATTTTCTCTCCTCAAACACAGTCTGCAAGGCCACAATGATCCTTGGTGTTTAGCTGTTTTTTACTGACAGATTATGTTTGAGAGTCTTCTGGTATTCACAAATTTTGAACTATAGATCACAAAGCTTTTTGTGTAATATCTGTTATGAATATGCAAATGAAAACCCATTTTGCAGAACTGAGTTGCACTCTGTTGACTACAGCTTCAACAAAGAACATTATAGTGCCAGATATGTTTCAGGTCTTTTGAAGTGCTGCATGTGCATAACCAGGGAGTAAAGTACAGCTCATGGGTGAGTTACAGTATTAAAAATAAGTGACAAGGCAGTTGAACATGGGTGCTTATCAGTTTGTGTCTAAATTTTTATTTAAACACCTGAATGAGTGGCATATATTTTCAGAAATGCTGAATTTTTACAACTGTTTTTGTCAATACTGATTACCTAGAAGAAGTAATCAGGTGGATAAATATTGATTTAGAGTCCAAAATGTAGTGTGGAGTATGTGGAAGTAATACCCAGTACATCAGATTTAAAATCAGCTTTAAAAAAACCTAAGAGGTAGAATGACCAGGCTCATTGTTTATCTGTTGTGTTTGTCCTGAATTATTTTGTATTTTTTTAATGTCTGGTAGATTTGCAACTGATAGCTATATTCAGATAAATGTAGTGCTAGGGATGTATAAATCAATTTCTAAGGAGTGAAACATTCAGTTGGAAAGGCACCATAAAACTAATTCCTTTTGCCATTAATATTTGTTCTTTCACACAAGGATAAATTCCTTTCTGAGATGGAAGAACATTACTGGGTTTGCATGGTCATATTAGGCTTCCTGTTTCCACAGCTTACTGGAAGATGGGCTGAAATAAGCAATACAAGACAAGCATACATTTAGCCTTTTTTTTCTTTCTGCCTTTTGAATTTAACTCTGGAGAAATCATGCTAGGGGTATAGCTGTCCAGAGGAGTCTCTGCAAGGTGAAGTGGAATGTGAATTGATAGCACTTGACATCTGTCTGTGTGCACACCCCCGCCTGCCCCATGGGGAACGAGAGGCAGCGTACAGCTGTTAGGAGGCAATATCCTACCTTGCCTTCTTGGCTGCTTCTGTGCTAGTCAGTTAAAAAGGGTTGGGCACTGCCATTCCTACTCTTTAATTGTACAGACACTTTCTGGCAGGGTACTGGCTGGTGCCAGCTGGTGCGTTCTTAGACATTGCCCAGAAACAATTTGGGGATGGCATGGACCAGTGAACAGTATGGATGAGGTGAGCTTGTTCTGGAGATGAAAGGAGTTTAACCATATGGATGTGAACTGTGCCATGGCACTTGCTCCTAGCCACAAAGGGTGAATCCTGGCCTACTTGCTTGTCTAGAAATAGCTGCTGTGAGCTATCTGTGTAGCTATACCCAAGAGCAGCCATTTCCTCCCAGTGGGAAGTCTGCAGGTTCCTAGTATCTGTGGGAGAAGGCTGTCCAAATCCAGAGGTGCTCTGTTTCTAGCACTCATCAGTCACATTCCAGATATCTGAGGAGAAACAGTAAGGTTAAACATAAATACAAGTATTCATATACATAGATGTCATATTAATATACATATACATATATATATATATATATATATACTGAAAGTCAATATATATTCCTTAATGTATATGGTGAATATTAATTTTACTTATTATTTATGTTCTTAATTTATTCACTTAATTTAATTCACAGGATTAGGGAGAGCAATTAACAAGAGACAGTCAGTCTACCTAATCTTCTGTCCATCTAGGTACCAGACGTTAGTTCTTACCCTCCTTGGGCCCCTTGTCCTACAACTATTTAAAGTCATTTATGTTTTAATCAAGTTGTAGGTTTATGAACATAGTATGACCATGCTTAAGACAGAGGTGAGGTGTGCCTTAGTGGTCATGTCTGTTAGCCCAACTCAGCCAGAACATTGAAACTGTACAGTATCCTCTTATAAAGGTGATATAATTTGGGCTTCGATGATTTTTGTGATACCACTTTGGTTTTACCTGCATGTGTACATACAGATATTCCTGCACGGTAATAACCTCAACAGCCTGCATCAGCTAATACACCCTGAGATCCTGCCTTCAGAGTTTGGAGGAATGTTGCCCCCCTATGACATGGGGACGTGGGCAAGAACACTGCTTGACCATGAATACGATGACGACAGTGAATGCAATGCGGACTCCTACAACGCTCCTGCAAAGGATATAGAAAAGGACCTCTCTCCCAAATCCATGAAAAGGTGGGTTAAAGGTACTGTGGTCTTATAGTATTGCTATACGGTTAACGTTTGCCTTCTGTTATATAAAGATGCAGGTAGTTCCCTCAGTTTATTATATACAAGGACCTTTTTTTAAATTTCTTAAGAAGATCTCTGTTGATTATAGATCATAGTGTTGATTATTGCCCATGTGATCTGTGAGCTCAGTACAGCTAATTATTTCCATGGTTCTATATAGGTAGTGTATACAGTGCTGTGCTTGGTATAAGCTCATATCCCACCTCAGCCTCCAGAACGCATTTAGAGAGACAGTGCTAGCTGAAATGAACCTCGGTAAATTGGGGCCAATTATCCATCTGGGTGGTGATGATAACTCGAACCTTCCTCCACCTCATCCAGTGCCTATAGGTGCCAGGACATTTACAGCATCTGAACTGTCAGTCACAGTGACTGCACACAACATGAGAAAATGTAATGAGGAGAACCAGCACAAAAACTGGTGCCAGTCATTATACTTAAGTCTGTTAAACATCCTGGTGTTCTGATATTCTTCTTTTTGAGAAGATACAGTATAATTGCATGCTGCATTTTACCATTCAAAATAAAGTAGAGGAAGAGGTTAGTTAACTCTCCAGTAACTATGGAAGCAGTGAGGTAATTCACTTGGGAGGGGTAAACCTGGTCCAGCCTTGCCAGGGCAGTAGAGGAGAAAGGGGAAAGATTACAACAGGGTGGTAGAAAAGGTTGAGCAGGGTAGCAAAAGCCAGATTGCAGCTCATAAAGGGGTAGGCATAGCAATGAATCAGAAAAGAACAAACATGGCAGAAACCAATATATAAAGTCATTAAAATTAAGTCAGAATATGGTAAGCTGAGAATTCAATTTCAGGAGATGGTATTTGATGCAAAAGGGAGAGAGACTCTGGAAGCAGATCAAACAGGATAAAATATTTTCAGACTCCTCAGCCAGAAAGGTAATGTTGGCTGGAAAATGTTGCATAGATTTGGGAGGACAGTGCGATTTGAAACGGTGATATTTGGGGGCAAATAGAGAGGAGACAACAGGAGATTGCTGTAGAAATGAAAAAGAAAAAAGCAGTGAAGTTTAAGGATTTTGTTTTGAAGAAATCCTATCCTGCACTGAAAGCGGGAAATAGCAAGAGTCTGGATGGAAATAAACTAGGATAAGCATAAGTTAAAAAAGGTCCTGAAGTCATATGGCAAAGATGAAATTAACACAAGCAGTGGAGAAAATGGGCCAGCAAAGAGTCAGGGGAAGGGTAGAAGTGAGCAATACATTTATATGTGATTTGCACATAATACAAGAATTATGAGATGATAGAGAAGCTGTCTTGGAGAGAAGGGTGGAATTTAGGAGCTGAAATGCACAAGTCTTACTGTTGCAAAATGAAGTCATGAGAGTAAATAGCTTCATCCAACGATGCAACAAAAAACCCATGAGAAGTCCTGTGACAAGACAGACTATCCTGGGCAAGCACATTATTAAGTGGAAGAGCAGTGGGTTGACCAGATTCTTCATTCTTTCTCAAATAATTTTTCTTCTCATTTAACTTGTGCTTGAAAAATCCTTCATGCAGAGTTGCACTCCAGTGTAAGCTTTAAATTGACATTCTTTCAGTCTGGGTTAACTGACGCAGTAGGAGACATACTGCAGAAAATAAGCCTGTTGAAATTTATATCTACATAATATTGAGCTGAAATTTCCTCACCTTCTCTGCATTCTTTTTCAGTTAGTGTGTCTGCAGCACCTGCTGGAATCCTCCTTCCCTGCTGTTGGATATAAAAAGTAATAAGTAGATTTACTGTGCTAGTACCAAGTAGAAGGGAGTGGTAGTAAGATGAACAGAAAGTCCCAGGACTTTGATGTATTTAGTGCACAGATTGTGTTAAAACAGAAATAGAAAAGTTGAGGTAGAGCAGATGAAATTTAACTTGAATTCGGCACCTGATGGATTGTTTCTTTCAGTTTAAAACCACACTCAGTGTGTTATGTTAGTGCAGAAGAAGGTTTTTAACATATAAGAAACCGTGACAGTAAGTCAATGAAAAATACTTAAATTAGAACAAATTTCAGAAGCATCTAGCAGATCTCCAACAATTATCTTGTTTAATCTGGCTTGCCATTTAAAAATCAGTTTATTGTTCTGAAAGAATGTTGTTCCTAAACTAAAATACTGCTGAGAATTCATTTCTTTGTTAATCATTTTTGCCCCCATATGAACCACTGACATTCCTCCAGATCTCCTTGAAATTTTGGTGAATTGGATGACCCCTACAGAAAGGAAGGTTGATGGTGGGGAGGGTGGTGGAGATAAGGAGGAATTAATACCACCTGTAGCACAGACCTCTGGAGAGAACATGTTCATGTCATGTGGCACCACTGCAGCAATCTCAGCAGTTCTGTTTAGCCTGTGGCTGTGTCCACCCATGGCTGTCATAGTTGAGGCACCCAGCTGGAGACCTGCACCCTCTTCTCACTTAACCCAGATTTCTGTGTCGATCACCTCTGCAGAATAATCTGTGTGTGGCTTTGATTCCTCACCTCTGCAGTGGGACTTTGTAGTACAACTCTGTCCTACTGTGTTTTCTGGGAATTTATTCAGTAATGTCTGTAAAGATATTTGGGAGATGTAGATAGAAGGTGCTATAGACTTACACAAATGTTTTTCATTTTACATACCTTCCTTCATGAACTGCTGCTGAACAGAATGAAATGTGACAGTAAATGTTGATTTAAAACTGAATGAAAACTATGTCTCCTTCTTCAAAGCATTTAGGCTCCTGATCTTACAAGCCACAGATCAGGATTTGTGCAGTTCCATTTTCATGTATGCCTTGGCATTGGGGAGTTTGGAGGTCCTGGGAATTTATGCCCAAAACTGCCTCACTGGGAATTTGAGACCAGGTTTGCAGCCTTTCTGGCTCCCCTTCAGCTCCTCAGATGAGACCTGAAAACCTTGGTGGTTCAGACATTGGCAGATGAAGAAGAGGCTCAGTCTTCTATTAGTACTTAAAGTCAGTTGGGAATTCTTTGAAATTAGTATGCTTCCACAGCATTTTTTATCTTGATGAATTGGATTTTCCAGGAGTAAAGCAGATTTTCAATCAGCTTTGCATTGGCACAGTACCTTGTGAAGGTTTTAAAGCATTTTTAATTCAGTGGTTTAGTTTTCTGCCTGAGGAACTGATCAGTGATCTAGATGAGGGTTATTGTACAGTTTTAATTAAAAATTTTTAATTATGTTTATCACAAGAGAGACTATCAGATTTTTAAAGCTAAATTGCTTGATTTTAGCATTAGTAAGAGAATGTGGCAAGTATTATTAGAAAATATCCTTGTGTTTAAAGTTTTTGCCTAGGCTCTAATTCAGATATTTTTTTTTGTGTGTTTTTGAAGGTTTTCTTTAGATTTTCTGAGAAAACCTGAATTGTCTCCTGCTATCATACTCACTCATTGGTTTCAGTGGATGATGCCAGTTTATAAGTGAGGGATTTACTGTATGTTTATCTTAGCAGAGGTCAGAATTTGTACAGTTTTTTTCCTTTTCCTGTAGCCCTTCACATGGACAAATCTGTAGCCATACTGCAGTCACAGTGTGCTTCCACTGTAGAGATGTACACATGCTCTAGCCATCTCAAATCTTTACAGAAATGACGAGAAACAGTCATTTCTGGCATGAGATTCATCCCACTAAAGGAAACAAGGGTTGCTGTTACTGTAGCCCAGAAGTGTCTGCATTTTGACAAGCTGAGACACACTTCAGACTTTGCTTTTAATGAAGCCTTTTGGTTTTGGTGGAGACTGAGGGTTCCTCTTTTTCCCTCACACCTGGCTATTGCAGAGTACCAGTACCAGTTTTATGCTTCTGTGCTGAATAAGAGAACTGGGAGAAATTTTTCATTGCATCACTGAATTTGCCCTTCCCATCAATCTCTGCTCTGTTTAGCTGAGCTGCTAAGTGAGTTTGACAGATGTGTCCACTGCTCCAGAATTTCTGCTGACCATGGCTGGATTCCCTAGGGATGGCTTAGTATCTCACACTGTTGCTATTCAGAAAAGGAGCAACTTGTGCTTCCAGCTAACACATGCCACTAATTGCAGTGTGCCATTAGCCAGCTGGGTGGCTGAGTTGTACCTTCTTTACCAGCCCCATGCCATATAACCTTCTGGTAGAGAGGGTCAGTGCTTAAGGCAGTACAAAAGACAGCTAAGTTTGCTCTCTGTTGCATACTGAGGATGTGCCCTGTTTCACTGAAGAAAAGAGGATCCACTTTATTCCACCTTTTGCTCCTATATCCACAAACAGGCACTGAGCTCTTTAAAGCCATGTAATCACTCCATGAGGGTATTTTCTGACTAATTGAAATGATCAGATGCTTGGGTAATTCTGTACCATTATTTTTAAGCCCTGGCAGAGATTAAAATAAACAAAAGAAAGCTGAGGTTTACCCTCATTTGTCTTGATCTAGAACTGTCAAATAAACATATTATCCGTCTGCAGGTCTCAGTCGGTTGTGGATCCTGGGGTGCTGAAACGCATGGATAAGAATGAGGAAGAAAACATGCAGCCTTTGCTTTCACTTGACTAACAGTTCCTGAGCACTGGACATGAACTGAGGTGGAAGGCACTGCCTCTCAGCAACAAGCAAACCTTGGGAAAGAGTGTACCAGCTGGAATCTTATTTACTCATGTTAATGTAGCATAATGGCAGCAGGCAGCAGGTTTTACTATTCTGCCTGAATTCTAGATGCTCTTGGGTGAAAAAGAAGAGGAGAAAAAAGGAAAATAAAATGAAATAAAAAATAAAGAGGAATCAATAATTTATTCTGTAAGTGCCAACTTGTTTGTAAATACAATATAACCCTCCAATTTGACTTTGTAAGTTATGGTAAACAAATGCTATGGCAATGAGTGACTATTAAATATGTCAGTGAAGTGCACCATAAAAAAGAGAAGAAAAAGTGTGTGAGCTCACACATGCTCACACATACAGAGAAATACATACCGGACAAAGAAAAATATCAAAGCCAATTAAATGTCGTCCTTCTCATAGGAAGCCATATTGCAGCTAGCATATTGACTGCCGTTTTGTTTTCTCTCTGCAATGCTCATGTAGTGTGCAAAGATAAAGAGGGAATATGGGAACTTGGAGACGCTGTAATCAGTTGAATATTTCCTAACTGTAGGAATTGATTTCCCAAATAAAGTTGTGGCTTAGGATTGTGGTTTAACATAAACCATGTAGCATTGTGAAAAAGGTAACAGATGAGCTGGAACCAACTCTTTGACAGCTTTGTTGTTTGGCTGTATGGATCTGTGAGGTTTCTTCCTTAACTTTTCATTTACAGTTTGCAAGTAACCTGACTTGTTACGCTAATCTGGGTGTTGTAACGTGGTACACATTCGAGTTACTTCTCTTGCATTTTGGGTGCACATCAACAATTTTTCCAGAACTCTGTTCTCCCTTGGAGTGAGAAAATAGTCCTCTAAATACAGTGTAATAACTGGTATTTGAAAGTAAAGCCTGGCAGCAGAGGTTAAAAGTTAATCACTGAACCCTGTGCACTGGGAGACTGGATACATATATATATATTTTTACCAATCTCTGACAAGCATACAAAGTGACATTGTTAGACAAGTATATTTAACTGAAGGTTTATACAAGAAATCATACCTATTCAATGTACTTAGATATATTATAGATTGTATATTGAGACAATGTCATTATTGATATAGTAAAGCTTTCCATAGAACAACAGCATCCCACTTCAAGCAAGGATTAATATGAATAAGTTGTAGTCAAACATCTCTGCCTATGTGTTTAGGACACTTTTGTTTTGGTTGTAGTGTAACTGTATATATTGAACATGTGCCATAATAGAGAAATACATTTTACCTCAAAAGGGCAACAGGTTTCACTGGGGATTGGGTTTATCAGCTGAAACACAGGGGCTGTGTGATCTTTGTGTGCTGGCTGATGTGTGTGCAGCCTGTATGCTGAGGCAAGAATGCAATTTCTTATTAGGACTTTGCAGAGTGAGAAGACACAGGGTGCCCACCAAGACATCTGAATAGTTAGAGGTATTGTAAGAGCATGTCCAGGCAATGTAGGGATTAGTTAAGAATACACTGACCATAGTGGAGGAGATAGTTCACAGCAACCCCACTTCCCAGGTGCCAGAGTTTAAAGAATTTCTTCCATCACCTCTGTGATCACTGAAGCTTCAAAGTCACCAGTTGCAGGTCACCTCTCCTCACCCAGGATGATTGCACTGTTAGTTGACTGGGATAAGTTAAGAGAGAGTGGAGAGTGAAATCTTGGAAGTGTGTCATCTCAGAGTTTAGTTGCAACTCCTGTGGTGGCAGCTTTGGCTTTTCTCAGGGCTGAGACAACCCTGTCCGTTCCAGCATCACCCTTGATTAGCCCAGGCAGCACACAGATAAAGCTTTCCTACTTTACAGTTCATTAGCAATGCTTAAATAGTGTATGCCCCAACATGACAATGTATTGGATGAATTTGTCTGAACAAGTCATCGCCTTTCTGCTCTCCTAATTCTATTTTCATGATATGTGTTATGAAATGTAAAGAGAGCCTAAATGTCTTTTTAGTCTGTCCTACAAGTTTTCAGTAGTGGAAACTGTTGTAATATTACTTCTATGGTTTGAGAGACTTGGAAGATTGAGGAATTCTTATATACTATTTTATTCAGTCCTGTTTTTCACATACCTTGTAACATCATGCTGGATAGTGAGATATGTCTGTAGGGTTTGCATAAGTGCCATATTTGAATGTATGTTATATATGCCCACACTTACAGTTAGTAGAATAGTATATTGCCATTGATCTGATTTTTAAATCTTTATCAGATAAAAGTCTTAAAATCAGTAGAAGTATTCTCCTTGTAAGGGCTTCAGGATTTAATCAGTATTCTGTATGTATGCAAACTGTGACACAGCGGTGATGAAAATCTTCATGGATGCTTTTGGATATATGGGCCAAACCTTGGTGTAAACCAGCACAACGCTGGTTTTAGAGTACACCAGCTGTCTGGTCAGAAAATGCAAATGCCTCTTAACATCCCCACAGAGCATCTTTGTAGGAAAGTGTATCTACTGAACTGTATGATGGTTAACATTTGTTTTGAAGCTTATAAATTTGTTTTGTTTGCAAATGCTTTATTTATGCACTTAGCTGTAATTTATGTAATGTTTTCTGTTTCCTGATTTCAGCTTCAAGTTAATGAGTATTAATATACTGTTTCCAGAAAATGAAAGTAGGATATATTACAATTTTGTGTAACTAGGATCTCATCTTTCACCAAGAACAAAACTACTTTTTCAGTAAGATCCTCACTGTTAAAGAGTTGGGCTACGGGTCTTCTTGGCTGCAGCTTTTATTTTGCTGAAGCAATTTCTGGCAGTAGTAACTGCTATTGTGACATTGGATAAGAATATGAAAATGGGTAAGAAAAATAATTATCCTTCACATATTCTCAGTATTCTATGAAGACATTTCTCTCTTACACATCAGGGTACATAAAGGGTTTCCACCTTTCCCTTGCTTCTTGTAGAAGATCTTTATAGGTAGGTCAATTTTTAATAGATTAAATTTGGACTGAAAGCTTTTTCCAATCTTTATTATCATAGGAACTGATGTCTAATTTTTATAGCAGACTTGAAGTGCTAAAAATAGAATTCAGATGCTTGGGAGGAATTCCTCTTAATTTCTTACCTTTATTGTGTATTGGATAGAATAAACCTTGTTGTAATTATGCATGCTGATATGCATATGAAAAAAATATCCTGCAATATGAGGAACTTAGTGGAAAAACTGGATACACCTGTACAAACAATTAAGTGCAAAAAAAGGGGCAGAAAAAAAGTGTAAAAATTGATATTTTCAGGCCTTTGGCAAGCTCTAAAAATGTCCCCTTACATGATATCTCTCCCATTAAAATAATGTTTAAAAATATATGGAAAAGTTATGGGAACTTTCGTGCCCAAAGCCTTCCTCCTGTAATCAGAGTCAATGGTCTCTTGGCTTTATAAAGACAGGTAATCAGTCCCACTAAGCTCCAACAAATCCACAGGCTCCCGAGTTATTAGTTGTAAAATAGCTTTAAGATGTCTTTACAGAAATGTAAATTTACTGTATAGCATATTTAAGAAGATGTTTTGCACTCTACAAACATGCTATGCCTAGTCACAAAAGATATTTGTATAGACATACATAAACTAAACATGGAATTAAAGAAAATAGGAGTAGAAGGGACCTCAAGAAGTCATCAGTATGTGGAGGAGCAGATTCACTTTAAAGTCTCTCAAAGAATTGTTGTAGCTCAGTACCTTGCATGGAATGCTCTTTGTATTATTTAATCACAGTCACAGCAATGCCTGAGCACATTACCTGACAAATTTATAACCTGACAGTATTTTGTTCATGCCTTTTCTTATTTATCTGTCTGTTTGGAAATTAAAAAGTTTGCCAAGCATCATAAGAACTATGATTTAGAATTAACTGAGAAACACTTTGCAATAATCTTTGGTCATGTCCCTGTTATTCTATTGTAACTGTTATTATCAGTGTATGTATTTGTCAAGATTTTTAAAAAAGTCATGTTTGAAAGAGTATGGAAGAGAGAAAAAAAATCAAAATCAGGCTTTAAAATTTTGTTTAGAATTTTAAAATAGGATTTGAGAGGGTGTTGCTGAGTTTGGTTTTGATAATTTTTATTTACCTATGGGGAATGTCCTGCTGAGCTATTGACAGCTTTGGGTACCGGAACAAATTTGGAAGATGAATATCAATGTGAAAGGCAAAAGCAAAGGTCTCAAAGGATTGTACTGAAAAAATCACGTGCTAGCTGTATCGTGTCCTTCTAAGGAAAGGCATTTTGCAAGTATCTTACAGTCATGTATCTGTGGGGCTGAGAATAGTGCTTTTGGCTGTAAAGTTCAAAGCACACTATAAAGTCAAGAAAATATTAGTGAACCCATTTCTCAGGTAGCAAAACAGCAACACAGCCAGCTAGAGACATTAAAATCTCAATGGAAGACATTCACATTGTGTTTATATATGGCAAAAATGACACTTTGATCACTCAATCTGGTTTGAACTGCAGGAGAGAAAATAATGTGTCCTTGTTTTGTGAGAGAAGAGTGTCTGGTTGTTGATTCAGTTATGCCTAGTTTCTTTAGAAACCTACTTAAACATCCTACCATGAGACCTTTACAAACCAGGGGTGATCTGCTTTCTTGTGGCATTAAATCTGAATGTACATTTTATCATTTCTGCTGAGGAAATGGTAAAAAGGGAGGATGTACCCCAAATGAAATGCCTTTCTTCCCTGTATAATTGATGGGAAAAAAAGTAGTTTACTCTGAAGACTCCCAAAAGGGAATCTTGGATGCCCAGTGAAGAATTATGAACTTGATCAGGGAGGATTTCCTTTTGAGGGCCTTGAAAGATACTTATTTCCCATTAACTACACAAGGAGCACTGGCCTTTTATTTAGAGGTGTGCTTAAGTGACCGCAAATGAAAGTGCAAGTGGGGGAGATAGGACCCCCATCCTGTATTGCCTTGTAACGTTGAATGATTCTGTGTCAAGGGTCTGTGTTTAGCACATTGACTTGGACGTACTCTTCATACTGCATTTCAGCTTTCAGCTGTGTGGGAATATTTTCCTATCAGCTTTTGGGATCTTAATTTGTTCCCTTCATATGGGTCTGTTGCCACAAAAATGGCATTGACCCCTGTTGAATTCCACAATTTGCAAAGTAATCTTTTGGTTAAAAAATAACAACTTGTGGTATGCTGGGCAGTGGTGAAGTTGAAATATAGATCACAAGCTCCCACTGCTTTGTCATGCATTCTCCAGTGTCTTGTGTGTGTAAACTTCTTTAATTGCTAACAGGCCTGACAGATTCTCATGATATGAGTTTAAGAGAGAAGAAGGAAGACTTTCTGCAGTGAGTTCAAAATCTGAGTTGATGGTATTGCTGTGGAATAAAAATGGAGGGGAAGCACTGCACACAGGCATAACAGAGAGACCTCCAAGGGAAGATGCTGATGCTTTCTTAGGGCATGAAATTTTGTTAAAACATGGCCAGAGTATTTTGTCTATGGGGACCATGGTCAGTCAGCTCTGTTGTTTCTGAACCAGTTACTTACAGCAAGTCCTCTTTAGTAAAGGTGTGATGAAGCTTTCTTTTGCTGTTAGTGGAGAACTCACTTTGAGAGAATTGGCATATCTGTCAATCTGTGGCAGACAAATGGTGGGGGTTAATTAGGATTTGCATTTGATATGGAAATGCTGCTGTGACTCCTTAAAGAGGCCGTTGCATCATCCGCAACACACAGCAGTGCTTAAAGGCAGGCATCTCAAATCAGGTCCCTGGGTTAATAAAAATTTAAGGGGAGAAAAAAGCAAGGAAAAAGACAATAGAAGATGATAAAACACAATAATTAAAATAAAAGCCAGAAGTAAGCCTGCAGTGGAAAGCCATATGAATGGCAAAAATGATGTGAGTGAACTTAAATGAACACTTCCAAGAAGTAAATCAGTAGTCTGTCTCATGTCCCCCATCTACATTATGAACAGAGTTCCCATTTTTTACATGGTCGACCTTGTATGGCCATGATGGAGTTTCCTAAATCTTTCCTTGAGTTACCATGTGAAGCTGTAGGTGCAGTAGCTAAGCTTGTGAACATGGTTTAATGGATCAGTGCATGCCACAAGACCCTCACCTGGAGATGGGCTCTGGGCTGGCTCAGACCTGGTACCCAAAGGAATATGTGAGATTTTCTGTCCTGCCTGGCTGAAGAAGCCATGCAGGGAGAGAAGGAAAGGAGCCACATGCTCCTAAGGAGAAGAGGGAGGCTTATGGAGAAAACCACAGCGGGGAGATGGAGTGACTGATCAATCATTTTAATGTAATGGTGAGGGAGGCTTTCACTTGCTCTGTGATATAAAAGAGGACTTACAAACCCCACCACAAAAATGCCATCAGAAAGGAAAGAGAACATCTTTCTCTCTAATGCAAACTTGATTTTGATATATTTAAACCCGATGTATATGCCAGGTCTGAACTGCCTTTGCTGCTGCTGTTTCCACAGTGGCTCTTGGGATGTGGGTATCCTGTAGCATGTAGGAGCTGGAACACTTATGTTCACCAACCTGTCCATAGGAAGAGAAGGGAGAGATGTATTCTGCACATCCCTGTTGCAGAGATAATTTTGTGGGAGAATTCAGTGCTTGCGCAGCCTGTTTTGCCCTGACATCAGTGTCGGTGCCTACTCTGTGTGGAAGGCTGTAAGTGGTGGGGGAATCTCCCCTGTGCACCACCATGTCTTGTGCTAATTATGCAGCCTTCGAGCTGTAACTGATGATCTGTGTCCTGTGTCTTTAAACAGTTCTGCTGGTGATGTTAATTGTAGCCATTAGTTACTCAGAGTGGAGACAATTTAAAGGAAACTGACAACTTTAAGCATTACATTTAGTGTTTAAAAATATTAAATTGGTGATTGTTACAAGTAATGCCTAATATTATGATAACTTAAAGAGTTTCAGGGTTTGGTTACGTTGTATCCTTGATGGGACTTAGTGTATAATCTTTTTCCCTTAAATACAGAGAATATAAATGTTCTCTGAGGTTCATGTGCATCTTTCACGCATCAGTGGCAGAAGGAATTAAATAGTACAAAATGGAATTTTAAAACTATGAATATATTCAGAGGGGCACATATAGAATACCTGACACTTAAAAAATTTTGTTTTGCAGTTAATTAGTGTTCAACTTGACAATAATGTCTCTTTCAAACCATTTTGTTCTCTAGCTTTTTTAGCTTATGTTGTGTGAAATGTGTGCTACAAAACTTTTGAGGTCTTCATCCTTTCTTCTCCTACACCTTTGCATTCAACAACATCCTGTCTTCTGTATGTACTTTATTCTATGAATAACTGGAGAAAACTAAAAAAACCCAACACCGTGGTAATCTGAAGACTAGAGCTTGAGGACCACTACTTTAAATATTTCCCTTATACAAATCTCTGGTAACAGGGTGAAATGGATAATGAGAGCAACAGCTGATGTCACTATAGAGGAATTCAAAAAAGCCTCTGGCTAGGAGTCCACACAGGTTTAGATAGATAGTCATCTGAGACAGCTCTTGTGATTTAAGATGTTGCCTTCCCCTGACTGTTAATTATCACTCTTTAGGTAGGGACTACTGCCCCAATATTTATTTAAGCAACAGATTACGGAAGTACTCCTGTCCCAATAAAAGTTGTGCATAACTCATGCTAACTCTGTTGATCCTGCACTCATGCAAATGTAAAAGCACTCACACAATCTATTGATACAACTCTGTTATGAGAATAATGATTAACAGCTATTCGTGGTGACATCTAAAATTGCTAGATTGGTTATCTGTGCCTTAAGGCTCTTGTGATCCATAGTACTTGCGTAGCAGTAACCACTGAATAGAATTTTTTTGCATGCAACAATCTACTTCGGAGCCTTGCGGAAAATACTATAGCACCATATCGAAAATTCAAAAATTAAATTACAGGAGTAATTTGCAAACAGTGCTTGTATCCTCAGGAGAAAATTTGTTTGTTTGTTTCTCAGTTTAGTACTGTTAGGACTCAGGGGGTCTGAGATTTGTAAAGCCAGGACAAGTCTATCAGTCATCTTCTCTCTATGTATAATTTCAATAATTATTCTCTTTTCACAACTTGGTGTCAGTTTGAATTTTATTCTTGGACCTAGTAAGATGGTCTATTGTGTTCCAAGCTAAAATCTGAGGATTAAGCAACTTTGTGAAACATGTCACTCTTTATATTGTATATTTAAATATCATCAGTTCTCTGTGATCAATGGGCTGCTTTGGAGAGTACTACTACTTTAAATCATTGTTGGCTACTGAGGAAGAATGACATTCTGTTAAATAAAATATGACCAAATGAAAATTAAAATACATATATATTTTTGTGTTTGTACATGGGACTGTTTGTCTGGCTTGCTTGTGCTAAAACTTACATGGAGGACATTTTAATTAGATGAACTGTACTTGATTTGTGTCAAGGTTTTGAAAGAAAAATGAGAAATAACTGCGTGGTATATCAGCATGTAAGGGTTTTTTTTGGTAACCCTGAACATCTCTTTCTGAACATCTCAACAGTAAGTTTTGGAGAGCTAACATATCCTGTGTTTACAATACTCTTGTGAGCTGTCAGTTCTTGGAAGTCTGCAGGTCGTGAATGTCCTCACAGATGAAGATCATGCAGAGATGCAACACAAGAAAAGTTCATTTTCCCCTCAAAGATATTTTCTACTCTCCTGTCCCTTAACTTCTTCTGTACTATGTTCCCTAGCATCATCTCATGTTCATTGGCATTTGTTTTGATGCTACATCAGGGAGAAGTGATACTAGCTCCATAGAGATGTCCCTTTCTTCAGGGAAATGTTGCTGTTTTCAGGAGAGAGTAAAACCAGGGTAAGACAGAACATGCTATGTAATGTTGCAGCGGTGCTTGCAGAATGACCATATTTCGTTCTAGATTTCATTTTTCTTGGGAGGGACAGACCCAGTAAATGGTAGCCATGTGTTTATGTGCTTGTCCAATGTCCTTTCTGTAGTATTCCTTACTTTAGGCACAAGGACACTTACTCTATTTATTAACATTTTCTGTATATTTTTCGTATCTTAACTTTGATTTACACAGATTAAAAGAAAAAAAAAAGGCTGCAGTAGCTTTCTGTTTCACACATAATCTCAGTGGTATATTCAGACGCATTTCTTATGTCAATTCTGCAAGGTATAACTTCCCAAGAATAAGTATAGATTTCCCAATTACCATGTTGAAAAGATATCAGTGGTTTCCCATCTATGTGGGAATGCAGTCCTTCAGCTCCCAGACACTGCATCATTGCATACAGTATGCAAGCCATTGCTGCACAAACGTGCATTTCATCATAACCACTGTAACAAGACAGATGTCAACACAGCTCTCTGTCTACCTTGAAATCCCTCACTCACATCCCTCTTACCGAGTAGAATTGAAGCCCCCTAAATATGTCATCACAGTGCTTTGGATTACAACCACTATCCATTGGTACGTTGCAAAGCTGCTTTCCCCTGAAAACAAGGTGATCCCAGAGTGTGTTTGTGTGTGTGTGTGTATACGTGTCTGCTTGTCTCCCCCCACCTCCCATTTTGGAGCCCTTTTAACCAATGTCAGATATCTGGGAAAACGTCAGAGGCCTCAAAGCTCGCATTGGTGTTGACATGAGACAGCATGGTGTGACATGTTCCATTTGTCCGGCCCTGATGTGGGAGTTGACTGGTTCATCCTGCAGCTCACTTGTTATTCCAGTACCTTCAGTTCCTACCAGTGCAGACCAGGCTGTGGGCTGGAGGACGGGGAAAGGAGTATCAGACTTGCCTTTGGTCTGAGGGAACCGGGATGCAATGGAGACCTATGCTGGTGCTACACAGAGAGTTTAGATGTGTTTTACCACGAAAGCAGGTATGTGGGCAGAGGAGAGCAATGCTTTTTGGTCTCTGATGGTGAGGAGAGTGAGCCCTTGCTTTCAGGCACCAATGTTTCTGTATGGGCAGGAGGTCATACACAACTTTCAGCCAAGAGGACAGTGCCAATGTAATGCCCGCCAGAGGGGAGGCATGGTCAGCAGCATGTGCAGGAGTATTGGAGACTCCTCTGGGGAATGAATTACCTATGATACTACCACAACTACCATACAGCCTACAATAGCACTCTAATGGTGTAGGATACAGGAGTGGATAGTGCAATTGGAAGTGTATTATTAATTTCAATAATAATGGTGGTTTACACAACTCCGTGTGTGTCTATTGAGCATAATATAATCATCCAGCCTACTCAGCCAGAGACAGAGACTGGGAGAACAACCTCCTCCGCATTCCAGGAGGAGACAGTCAGTGACCTACTGCATCAGACACACACAACTCTATGGGACCGGATGGGATACACCCGAGGGTGCTGAAGGAGCTGGCTGGGGTGCTCGCCAAGCCACTTTCCATCATTTACCAGCAGTCCTGGCTGACTGGGGAAGTCCCAACAGGTTGGAAATTGGCCAGTGTGACGCCCATATATAAGAATGGTCAGAAGGATGATCTGGGAAATCACAGGCCTGTCAGCTTGACTTGGGTGCCTGGGAAGCTGATGGAGCAGCTCATCCTGAGTACCATCACACAACACATGCAGGACAACCAGACGATCAGGCCCAGTCAGCATGGGTTTATGAAAGGCAGGTCCTGCCTGACAAACCTGATCCCTTTCTATGACAGGGTGACCTGCTTATTGCATGAGGGAAAGGCTGTGGATGGTGTCTACCTTGACTTTACTCAGGCCTCTGACACCGTTTCCCACAGCATTCTCCTGGTGAAACTGGCTGTTCATGGCTTGGATGGGCACACAGTTTGCCCGGTAAAAAACTGTTTGGATGGCCGGGCCCAAAGAGTTGTGGTGAACGGAGTTAAATCCGGTTGGTGGCCGGTCACGAGTGGTGTCCCCCAGGGCTGGGTTCTGGGGCCACTCCTGTTTAACATCTTTATTGATGATCTAGACGAGGGGATCGAGTGCACCCTCAGTCAGTTTGCAGATGACCCCCAGTTGGGTGGGAGTGTTGATCTGCTCGAGGGCAGGGAGGCTCTGCAGAGAGACCTGGACAGGCTGGAGCCATGGGCTGAGGCCAACTGCAGGAGTTTCCATAAGGCCAAATGCCGGGGGCTGCCCTTGGGCCACAACAACCCCCAGCAGCGCTACAGGCTTGGGGAGGAGTGGCTGGAGAGCTGCCAGTCAGAGAGGGACCTGGGGGTGTTGATTGACAGCCGGCTGAACGGGAGCCAGCAGTGTGCCCAGGGGGCCAAGAAGGCCAATGGCATCCTGGCTTGTGTCAGCAATAGCGTGGCCAGCAGGGACAGGGAAGGGATCTGACCCCTGTACTCGGCACTGGTGAGGCTGCCCCTCGATTCCTGTGTTCAGTTTTGGGCCCCTCACTCCAAAAGCGACACTGAATGACTCGAGCGTGTCCAGAGAAGGGCAACGAAGCTGGTGCAGGGTCTGGAGCACAGGTCGTACGGGGAGCGGCTGAGGGAACTGGGGGTGTTTAGTCTGGAGAAGAGGAGGCTGAGGGGAGACCTCATCGCCCTCTACAGCTCCCTGAAAGGAGGTTGCAGAGAGCTGGGGATGAGTCTCTTTAACCAGGTAATAAGTGATAGGACAAGAGGGAATGGCCTCAAGTTGCACCAGGAAAGGATTAGACTGGATATTAGGAAGCATTTCTTTACAGAACGGGTTGTTGGGTGTTGGAATGGGCTGCCCAGGGAGGTGGTGGAGTCCCCATCCCTGGAGGTGTTTAAGAGCAGGGATGACATAGTGCTGAGGGATATGGTGTAGTTGGGAACTATTAATGTTGGGTTGATGGTTGAACTGGATGATCTTCAAGGTCTTTTCCAACCTAGATTATTCTGTGATTCTGTGATAGTAAGTGTTCACAAAGCTGAAAGTTCTCTATGACAGTAAAAAGTATTTTGTCTCATTGCCTGCATGCCTCTTGACAGTGCTGGTTTCATTTTCATGATCTGAGTAGTGGGAAAAAATAGCACTTGGCCATCTTGATGTGTACAGATGGTTGGCTGGTCAAAAGCCCTTCCAGTACCTGAACCCTGACTGACAGTGTCCCTTCCCCTCTTGATAGGTTACCAGGCTGTCAAGCAATCTTTACTTCATCTGTCAACTTAACTACTGAAAACTCTGGAGATTTTCAGTTGAGAAAGTGCATATGTAGCAAAAATATGTCACACTGGTCAAAATGGAGATAATATTTTTTTTCTTATGCTATCGTTCTATTCAGAGCTTTTAAATTTTTGTCTTTTGTGAAAAATTTAACACCTTGCCTCTTCCCAAATTACAGAAAACCAGCACCTATTAATGAAGAAAATAATAAACAAATACTATTGTTTAAATTTTATTTTCAGTAGTGGTAATGCTAGAGGAAACAGTTAATCATATTAATTGATAGCAATATTTTTTTATTTCAACATCTGAAAATAAATACTTTTTTTATTAAGAGATATGTAATTTCTTCCTCATGAAGCAATGAAGTGAGAACCAGACTGATCTTACCATATTCAGTTCCTAGATTCACTGCACAAAGGATAACACTGATGAAGAAGCTGTTGAAATGCAGCATTGAGCAATTCTCATTTTTTTAATGAGAAAAAAATATTTTCTTTTAGTTCAATGCATAAATTTATTCAATTTATAAAATTTGAATATGAACTATAAAGCCTTTAATTAGTTTCTAAATCAAAAAAATAGTGAAAAATGACAACATATTCAAAAGATTTACAATTCTTACTCTTTTTAAAAATGTGTATAAATGTTTAGATTCAATGTTTAGATTCAGTTCAGATCAAGCTACCAAAAATCAAGAAAATACCATAAAATCTTGAAGTGCTCAGAATAAAGCATGAGGTACAGCTATGCATCATACTATTAGCTCAATTTTTTTTTGCTGTTAAGGCTTTACATTATTATTATTGTTATTAGATCCTTTTAATGCTCATATAGCAAAGATCTCAAGGAGAAATACAGCATTTTGTTTGCAGAAACAAAGAAAACAGAAAAGAAACATGGAACTGGCATACTACAGTTTAAACTGATCTTCCTTGATTTAATTCCTCATACATGTGACATTCGTCTTTAGAAAATCTGTAGCCATCATCTTGATGCAGTCCTGTAAAAGCATGCTAAACCATCATAGCTTCTCACGTTAACATAGTGTCATTAAAAACATTTGACATACAGTGTAGATTGAAAAAACTTGTAGACTAAACTTGATCATGAAATAAAGATGCAGAATTTAAGAGAGTGTTTGAAAAAACCCTTGCATAGGTACTTGTCAGGTACATAGTCTCTTCAAGAGGTGTGGTTTGCAGTCACTTAAGGGTATG